TTAACAGATCAAAGCAATCCGATCAGAGTATGCAAATATTTTTAAAGCTCCAACAGCCAAATTGGGACATTGTAGAAGAAAAATGAGCAACTAGGTATAATTTAGGCCAAAATAAAATTCATAAACATTCCCCATTTCCTATGGTATATGTACAGCAATGAGTCTGCTAATAAAAAGATGGAAACCCTTTCAAATTTGTCTATAAATGGCAGAACAAGCTATATATCCGCAACAAAAAATCGGATAACCACCTTAAGAATAACATAGTACCAACATATCAGAATTTCTTTTCTTTTCCTTTGCCGAGCTTTGTAGATGATTATTTATCAGCCTACCTAGAAAACCCTCCCTCCTACTTGGTCTCCTCTCTGGTGTAGAAGCTGGGTTACCTTAACCTGGAAATTCCCACCTGGCAATAGTACCGTCCCAGGAAGAGCTTACGAGCATTGGGTAGGAAGGATGCCAACTACAATCTCTTACAGGTCCTTCATGAAATTCAAGTCTTGCAACTTCAGCTCCACTCATCTAAAAAAATAACTAATCAGTTGCTACTTGCATATTTGAATGATCAATTGGAGAACAAACAATAATATTTCTTGTTGTGCAATATGTAAATTTAAGCAAGGAGATCAAAGTAAAATTAAAGATAGAGTTACGGGTTTGATCAAGTGACCTACTCCACATAAGAGTCAACAAATCCAAATTAATTATGAATAATTCTATATACTACAATGCTTCTTCTTCTCTACTCTCTTAAATGCTAATTCTGATACACCTAAAAATGATAAGTTCAAATCTAGAGCAGTAAAAATCATGCGCACATACAAATATATGCAGCAACTAAATATTCAAGTAGTGAGCATTTCCTAGCTTTAAATGAGGAAACGGGATGTTTACAGAGCAAGTTGTCAACAGGTAGTGATATTTGACGATGGGAATCGGAACACAGGCAGTTTTCAAGCAGTGGAACGTGAAGAAAAAAAGTTTAGTTCCCAAAATTACTCATCTACAAAGACTAGCTATTTTTTTCTGTTGGTACTCAATCTTATCCCAGTCCTTGTACAATTATCCTGACATAATACAATACAACACAAATAGAATGAGCAATAAACTTCTTTGTCATTTTATAGTCCTTCAAAAATCTTTAACCATCAAAGGCTCATGTAATTATACTTCAATATGTCCCAACCAATCAGTTAAATTAGATTAAGAATAGGGTATAAGAAAAATGAAAATCATTTGTTCGACTGCATGTAGAAAAATTGCTAAATTTTCAGCACGTACCAGATCATATATGCGCACAGAAGAGTCACCAGATCCAGTGTATATGTATTTTTGACCAGTGCTGCAACAAGTGTTTGAACAAAAGATTAGGACTATAAATGTATCACAGAATCAGCAATCACAAGATCGTCAGTAATGCAGCACAATGCCCTGAAACCAGCAGTCTGGTTCAATATACAGGCTGACCTTATCAAAGCAACCTATAAAAAGAAATTTAGAACAAAAAAAAGTGCATATTATCTATTGACAGTGACAAAGGAGCACAATCATTTTGACTGTTCACAATATTGCAAAAAGCGAGTCCCAAGTCATTTGACAAAGTTTCAATTGGACGAAAATCCAACTAACTTGAAAGACCTGAGTCCCAGTTCAGAAGATTGATTTAACTGAAGATGTAAAGAAATCGCATCAGATATAAGCTTATTATTCATCAATTTATGACCCTTATGATGAGAGATTCAGTGTTAACATCACAGCATC